TGCTCGACTGCTAACCCAAAGTTCAGCAACTTGAACTTACCAGCCCTCTGTGGAAGAAAGATGTGACAGTGTGCTTTCATAAAGATTCTAACCTTGGAAACTCTAGTGGACAGTTCTAATCTCTCCTATAGGGTCACTGTGAGTTGAAATTGACTTGAAGGCAACAGGTTTCTATTTGATCTTATTACACGAACAATTAAACAGGAGACAGTAATGATATCGTCCTCCAAAATCCAATACTTTTCAGTCATTTGAATTGACCAGCCAAATATGAGATGTTTATCTTGCTTTTCTTCAGCATCCCAAGTCTGCTTATTTACTGATAGTCTGAAATAAAATACAGATTCTTTCAAGTGTCTTCAGGTATTAGTTCACAAAGGTATAAAAGAAACACATGTTTATTAATTATTCATTGCAAACTTGGTATTCTGCTCAGTGCTGTATATAATTATATTAAGTGATCCTCACTATAATTTTATGATTAAAGTAATGGTATTAAACTCATAGATAAGGAAACTGAATTTTAAAGAAGCTAAATTACTTATTCAACATCACATAGGAAGCAAATGCTAAAGTAGTTTGTCTTGAAATATATTAAAGATTATTTGCATCAGAACTACCATGTGGGGGTGCTTGTTAACAACACAGCTCTCTGGGTCTCCTAAGTCTTCAGATTGTGTGCCATCAGTATTTATTTGTATGGGGACATCTGCAAGTTTGGCAAACACCTCATTTGAGAGGTTTGAGAATCATTCTAGATATTGTAATCCCAGTAGTGTATGAAGAAGGAGCACCTTCAGGGCATCTGTGAGTAAGAAATGTAATTGTTTGCTTGTTATCTTTTTCAAGCTGGCCTCTCCACATGGTCTATAAATACATTCTGAGTTATTCAGCAAAACCAAGGATAGATCTGTTAGGAAAAGAACTAGATAAAACATTTTTGTTTGCTTCTCAGCTTGGTAGCCCATGGAACTTGATAAAAATATTTTTTACTTGCTTTTCTGTTTATCAGCCCACAGACTTTGTGGAGAAGCATTTGCTCATTTTATAAATACCATGAGATATTTTTTACAAATTTTATTTTTCCTTTTGTACAGACAATTGCTGCTGCTAAGTTTGAACAGAGATAAACTTGAAATTATAATTATATTTGCATAAGGTTTTTACCATTTGAGACAATTTCCAGTGAATTTTCTCATTCAATGGGAAGAAACTGTTTTTTTGTTCCTTGTGAGTCAGATGCTGTTTGGTGCTGGACATAGAATAGTTAGTAAGAAAATTATGATGTTTGTCTTCACAGAGGGTCTGGTATAGTTAATAATCTGAAGGTTGATTTCAGGTTGTATGACTGTGAGGTATACTTATTGTCATTTAGTGGCTTTGAGTCAGTTCCAACTCTTAGGGACCCTGCATAGTATTTTCAAGGCTGTCAATCTTTATGGGAGCGGAAAGCATGAACCTTCTCACACAGAGCATCTGGTAAGGTATATAAGACAGTTATCATCTTATTTTAAATATGAGAAGATAGAAGTTAAAGAAGCTAGATGACTAATTCATAATCATATCTCAGCTAAAGGACAATGCCATCTAATTGATTCTGTTTATTTCAATTTAGTGTTCTTTTATCTACCTTATACTTGCTTTCAAATGTAGGCATTTTCCCAAAGTTTATGCCAATTAAGCCCTAACTTAACTTTAAGCTCCAATTTTAATTTTATGTATTTATGTCTAAAGGTGCAAAAAATACAAAGTCCACATAATCAGCAATGGAAGACAAAAGATAAATGAATGGAAAGCAGAACAATTGGAAAGTAAACGATCTACTCACAGAGCTGACTTGTGGATGTATAAAGAAAAGGTCGAATGATGTTAGAAGTAAGGATATTATAGAGATATCCCCATGGTGAAGAAAGGGAGAAATCAATAATTTTATGGTTGTGATACTTTCATCAAGACTTTTTATTGTAAAATCAAACACTTGTCCATGATATCCTATTCAATTCTCTCATTAAAGTAGTTTGTCCACCTTTGCCATCCCAGCTTTCCGCTCACACATTAGATAGTATTTGTTCTCACAGAGGGAAGGGTGGATTTTCCCATTATGAAAGTAAGCACATTTCATATTTTCTTTTCCATCTCCAGAAAGCTCAAACCTGTAATTGAAAAAGTTAAGATACAGTTATTTGAAAGCTAAATAAAATAATCAACAATCAAACTATGTAGAGTTTTGTGGCAGAAAACAAATACAATGAAATGAAAATTTGAAAACAAGATTTATGCAATTGAAATACTTCCAATACACTGGGAGTCAAAAGTATAAACATTTGAAAGTCTCAGTAGTAATTGAATATACCACAGACTATATAGCAAGACTGAATTGCAAAGTTGGCAGTTCAAGCTCACCAGCTACTCCTTAGAAATCCTATACAGGGTCGCTATGAGTCAGAATTAACTCGACAGCACTTAACAACAATATAGCAAGTGAATACAAGGCTCAATAGGAGTTTATGGAAAGATCTTCTTATGGGTCTGAAATAGTGAGTGAAGACCTGAGTTCTCTCTAGAAGGCAGAATGGGCTTTAGATAAGATGGGATGGCCAGGCAAGGCCAATAGCTATATATAATGGGAACAAAAGCAAACAAAAATGAGTTGATTATATAATTTTGAACTGAGAGTTTCTGTTGTAAGACAATAGATATAAGACTCGCATTACTGTAATTGACTGTTAACTTGTCTGTAGTCCTTACTATATTGTTTATTATGAAAGGCCAAGTAATAGATACATATTAATTTATTTGCTAACATCTATGCAACACTTGGAGTCCTGCTGTGGCACTGTAGGATAAGCACTGGACTGCTAACCTCAAGATCGGCAGTTCAAACCCACCATCTGCTCTTTGAAAACCCTATACAGGGTTTCTATGAGTCAGAATTGACTCAATGACACTTAGAAACAACAACAATGAAATATTTGGACCTAAATTCCATGCTCATAAAATCAGCAGTCGTTGGGCAAATCTGCTGCAAAATATTTCTTTGAAGTGTTAACAAGCAAATATGCCACTTTGAGAACTAAGATGTACCTAACCCAAGCATTGAAGTTTTAATTGCCTTATATGCAAGAGAAGAATTTTTGCTTTTGAATTACGGTGTTAGCAAATAATATTGAATATACTATAAACTGTCAGAAGAACAAACAAAGCTATCTTGGAAGAAGTAAAGATAGAATGTTCTCTAGAGGTGAATACTTTATTTTATGTGTTTTGGACGTAATATTAGGAGGGGCTAGTTCCTGGAGAAGGACACTATGTTTGGTAAAGTAAAGGGTGAGTGAAAAAGAAGAAGATCTTCAATGAAATGATTGGAAAAGTCGCAGCAACAATGGGATCAAAGATAGCAATGATTATTAGGATGGCACAAACCATGTAGTGTTTAGTTCTGTTGTATGTAGGATCACTCTGAGTGGAACTGATTTGACAACACTTAGGAAAATGAAACACTTACTATGTGTCAAAGTTGTTTATGTGCTAAGGATATAGTTGTAAACAAAGAATAGGTCCCTTCTTTACAGAAGCTTACATTGTAACGAGGGGATATGGATAAGAAGCAAACAGATAAAATAACATTGAGAATTAATAAGACTGATGAAGAAATCAGAGTATGATATGACAGACCTTGATTGTAGTAGTAACAACAACAACAACAACAATGAATGAACCAAACTCATTGTTGTCAAGTCAATTCTGACTCCCAGCAAGCCCTATAAACCAGAATAGAACTGCCCTGTGGGATTTTCAAGATTATAAATCTTTATGGAAGCAGATTGCTACATCCTTCTGTTACGGAGTTGCTGGTGGGTTCAAACTGCAACCTTTTAATTAGCAGTTGAACACTTAACAACTGCACCATTTAGGGGCCTTGATTGGCTAGCAGCAAGGTTACTTTCATTTGAATGATAAGAGTTGCTATCACTAAAGAAACACTTAAACAGAGGCTTCGGTGGCAAATGGAGCCAGTTATTGAGTTCTGGAAGCAAAACATTCTAAGTGAAGGGAAAAGCAAGTACAAAGCAAGGCTGACTGTTTGTGCCTATTCCAATGAAAGGTGACCCAACAGAATGCAGAAGTCCTTGAAAATATCATTGATATCACATGCAAGTAACATGAAATGGTTGCAGCAGTACATTGACAGTGAACTGCCAAAAATTTAAGCTGTATTCAGAAGAGGACTTAGAAGTAGGAATTATCATTGCTGATGTCAGATGGAAAGCAAATAATAACATAAAGATGTTTACTTGTTCTTTATTGACTACGCAAAGACTCCCAACTGTGTCTCATGATAAGCAACAAACAATATTGTGAAGAATGGGTATTCCAAAACACTTCATTGTCCTCATGCGGAACCTGTACATAGACCAAGAGGGAATTGTTAAAACAGAACAAGAAATATTGAGTGGTTTAAAATCAGGAAAGGTGTGCACCAGGGTTGTATCCTTTTATCCTACTTATTCAATCTATATGCCAAGAAAACAATCTGAGATATGAAGAAGAATGTGACATCAGGATTGTAGGAAGATTCACTAACCACTTTAATAGGCAGATGATAAAATTTTATATAAAGGTATCTTAAAATAATTACTGATAAAGATCAATGTAAAGAAAATAAGATCCTTACAACTGGATCAACAAATAACATCATGGCAAATGAAGAAAAGATTGAAGTAGTCAAATAATTCAATTTGTTTGGATCCACAATCAACACTTACGAAAGAAACAGTCAAGAAATCAAACGCCATATTGTATTAAGAAAATCTGCTGCACAAGACTTCTTTAAAGTCTTCATTATCAGTTTGAAGACTAAGGTGCACCTGATCCAAGCCATGGTATTTTCTATAACCTCACACAGATGTGAAAGTTGGTCGGTGAGTAAGGCAGACCACAGAAGAATTGATGCATTTGAATTGTGGTATTGTAGAAAAATATTAAAAGTAACATGGACTGCAAGAAGAGCAAACAAATATGTTTTGGAAGACGTACAATCAGAAAGTCCCTTAGAAGACAGGATGGCAAGACTTCATCTCTCATACTTTGGACATTAGGAGAGACCAGTTGCTGGAGAAGGACATCATGCTTAGTAAGGTAGAAAGTCAGTGAAAAAGAGGAAGATCCTCTCAATGCGATAGATCCATACAGCTGCAGTAGCAATGGGCTCAAATGTAGCAACTGTGATGGTGGCGAAGGACTGGGCTGTGTTTTTTTCTGTTGAGCATAATGTCACTGAGTCAGAACCAACTCTGGGGCATCTGATATCAACAACAAGGGCAAGTTAGTTCTAAGTTGAGAGGGCCTATGGTTTACACAGCTCACAGTTTGCTATAGAGCTCCATGAAACTTTTAAGTAACTTGCACTTAAAATCTCAGGAACAAAATTTCTGTAAATTCTTTGTATTCTGATTGTCAAGATATACATGTATATTTGTTTTTGTTGTTGTTAAGTGCCATTGAGTCGGTTCTGACCCATAGCGATCTTGTATAGGGTTTCTGAGGAGCAGCTGGTGAGCTTGAACCACGGACCTTGCAGTTCAAATGGCTTTGCAGTCTGGCGCATTAACCCACAGTATCACACCAAGACTCCCATATGTGTATATATATAAACTTGGTACACAGAGCAAATCATCAGCTTAACATCCAATAAAACACTTTATTTCATTTCAATGATTATAAGTCCCTCCATGTAACAATATTTATCCCACTTCCGTGTGTTTTCTATTTCCATCCCATCCTCCTTCACAACCACTCTGAGCCTTGTCCCCAGGTAAATAGTGCCTTTTTGGATTTTCAAAGGTTTACCATTCCATGGTGAGCAAACTTACATACTTTTGGAGTACACTGAGCCATCTTCCCACATCCAGACTCCATTAGAGTTCTGGCGAGACAATCCAACCCAACGAATTAAAGCAGTCCTGGATTTGATATATTCCTATTATAAACATAAATAAATATAATAGTCAGTATGCCTCCAAAACTCTTGGTGATGACCTAAAGATAAAACTTCAGGATAAGAAGTTTGATGAAAAATAAAAAAAAAAAATTGTTGGGTTATGTGTTTATAATAACATGAATGCATCATCAGGGCTTTTTATATTTGAGATTTGGAATTCTACCAAACTGACTGGTTTTAAGGGGAAAAAAAACCAAACCTGCACATGTACAACATATCTACTATTCTAATCTTCCTCCGTCTTTACATGATTATATTTTCCATTAACTGGAGATTAAAGTACCAAATAGAATAGCAACTATGACTCTTTTATTTATTTATTTTAAAAAGCAAGAATATAAAAACCATGTTTAAATGTGTCTCTTTGATCAGCGGATGGCAGCAGACAAGTTCTTTCAGTAATATATTTGTCTTAGTCATATTAGGTGGCCTTTCCTCCCCCACCCAATGTTTTATTGTGAATTATGAAATAGTTTACATGAGAGAACATTAGCTTTACATTCATCCTATCTTATATTGTTTCATTGTCATGGTTACAATCCCCTCCATGCATCATCAACCAACCAAAGGGTATACCCTGCAAGCCAGCCCCTAGTCATCAACATTCAGCCCCTCTCCCTCTCTGGGTCTAAAGTCCCCAGCTGCTCCATCTCTCCACATCATTGTTTCTGCCTCCATCTCTGGCATCACTGTTTCTCTGGGTAGGGTCCTGCACTTGGCTCTTCTCCCTTGATGGTCCCAGGGACCTCCACTCCTGTACTGCAAAGTCAACTACTCCCCTCCTTTTACTACAAAATATCTACCTTTACATTTCCAACCTTCACAGTCAGTCCTGATGGCAATTATTCACTATTGTACCACATGAGTGCTATCCACATCTCCTTTCATCAGTCCCTCCCAGACAGGTTGGATACTACTCAGTAGAGATTCTATGTTCCTTTGCACCCTCTGGATTTAGGCTCCTTCTTGAAAGCTTGTAAACCAGTTACTTCTTGCGTTTGTAGCCCCCTATTTTGGGTAGCCAATGTCCAAGTTGCCCATCCCTGTCTACCCTATGTATCGAGGATAACTATGACTCTTAAATGGATAAATAGCAAACAACTGTTGCTCTTAGAAGATGCTCATTTGAATTTAAAGTCCCCTTAGAGGTACCTCAGAAAAAAATGCCTGGAAATTTTAAAAAATCAGTCACTGAAAACCTTATGTGTTCTATTCTTATACATACAGAGTTGTCGGGAGTCAGAATTAACTCAATGGCAACTGATAAACAAGTAAAGAAAATTAAATAATCAATGTTAAGACTTTATATTTCCCAGAATTAAGTTTTATTTGAATTGATTTTACTGCTAAGATTGTCTATCAAATTTTTTCATGTAAAAGTAACAATTTTAGTTGATGGAATTTTATGGTGTTTTTCTCAAAGAGAATTATAAATAATATTGTTTATCCGGTTTCCTGATTTACTTTTTTTTTCTTAGAAATTATTACTAAAGAGCTCTGTTGGCTTGGTGGCTCAGGCATTGGGCTGCTAACCATAACATCGGCAGTTCAAACTCACTAGCACTTCCATGGGAAAACAATGAGAGTGTCTGCTCCAATAAAGATTTTCCATCTTGAAAGCCCTATATATACGGATGCCATTAGTTGGAATCTCTTCGAAGACAATGGGTTTGGTTTGGTTTTGGTTTGCTGTACTTTATGGAAGTAACCCTGGTGGGAAAGATGGAGGCAGTTTGCTTCCATAAAGTTTTTTCAGACTATGAAGCCTTATATGGCAGTTTTACTGTATCCTATAGGATTGCTCCTAGTTCTGTGTTGTGCTGTAAGATAACTACTGGACTGCTAATCGCAAGATCAGAGGTTCAAACCTACCAGGCACTACTTGGAAACCCTATACGGAACCAACTCGATGGCACTCAACAACAACAACGTAGAATTATAAGTTAGAATCAACTCAGTGGCCATAGTTTGGGGTGTTGTGGCTATACTTTATAAGCAGACTGGTGGTACCATGGTTAAACACTCAGGTGCTAACATAAAGGTCGGTAGTTAGAAGCTGCTAGTCACTTAGCTGGAGAAGAGACCTGCTTATCTATTCCCTAAAGACATAGCCTAGGAAATCCTACCGAGGCAGTTCTACTCTGTGTATACAGTCACTATGAATGGGAATCAACTCGGTGGCAAACAACAACAGCATCAACAAAATTAAACTATATTCTATATCTATTTGTTTTGTTTATTGTCTATAAAATATGTACAAACTCCATAAAGTTCTTGATTTGTGTCTGTTTTATTCACTGCATAGCTTCAACAAATCAATTTACCTATCTATAGGTGATTGTTGCTAAGTGCCATCAAGTTGATTTATCTACAGGTAGCAAAATTAAAAGGATGTCAAATATTTTATATTCACTCCTATATTCCCAAGTAACAGATGCATTGTTGTTAAATGTAGTCCTGTCGGTTCTCACCCTTAGCGACCCTGTATAGAGTTTCCGAGGAGAGGGTGCTGAGTTTGCACCGCAAACCTTGCAGTTCAAATGACTTTGCAGTAGGTAAGAATATATTCTATGGATTTTTTTTTAAATGACGTGTTTCTTGACATACATATAAATTGTTGTTGTTAAGTGCCGTCGAGTCAAATCTAACTCATAGCAACCCTGTGTTGGGTTTCTGAGGAGCAGCTGGTGAGCTTGAAACGCCAACCTTGTGGTTGAAACAGACCTTGAAGTCCAGCACAATAACCCACAGCACCACACTAGGACTCCTATACATACGAGAGACAGACAAATATTGTATAAGAAACAATGTGCAAAAGGCGTTATTGATTGCTTATTTCTCTAAAGCTTGAGTCACACGTCTCCTTTCTCTTAATTTCTGTTCTTTTTCCATAAATCCACATTCTATATATCACTATAGAACTTGACAGATAAATTCTGCCTTGTATCTAACTATTGTGGTAGTGTTTTCTTTTTAAATTTCAAAAATTACATGATTTCCCCTCAGTGTAATAATCCTCCAACCTGACAGCAGTTTACAGTAATGAGAGTCAAGACATGCTTATATTTCTCCATTTCATCTCCTTGTATTAGAGATTTTAGGGAATTCTTCTATTTTGAAAAGTTCATTTACATAGCTTACTGTCTTGTTCTTTGAGTTAAGCTCATACAAAAAGTTAGTAGATGGTACATCAAGATTCTGTTGAATTTTTGGCTGCAAAAATTCTGATTTTCTATTCTAATTTACATTTGTTTTCATTTTTTTTAAATACGCAAAAATGTGAAAAATATTTTTTAACTCTTGAACAAATACTCTCAGGGTTTCTATTTAAAAAACAACAACACTTTTTTATAAATCTTCTCTTAGGTAGAAGAGAACATCCAGGGTTTTTTTTCTGGCTTATTCCTAGGCTCCCTGGATGTGGTATAGTGAATTACTTAATGTCACTTCTAGCCTTAGCGTGTAATGCCCACCAAACTATGTTTTTGTCCTGCTGGGTCTGAATAAGAGAAGATGTGAGAAGATACTGATAGGATCACATGAATCAGCTGTGGATGTTAACAGAGTTAATTAGAATGGTCTTCAAATTTCAGTTCTATTGTGTCTGTGCACATAAATGTTAACAGAGTTAGATGTAATTGTAAAAATTTGAAACTTTTGCACTGGTACCAAATGAGCCATCTCGGAAGCAGGAAGGAAGGTCTCACTACCATCAAAGAAGAGCCAGGAGTGGAGCACATCCTTTGGACCCTGAGATCCCTGCACATTCAACCTCCCTGATTAAGGGGCAGAAAGCTGTGATCCCAAAGGAGTAGCAGTGGAGCCGCAGCAACAGAATCAAATGTCAGAGCATGGACAGAGTAAAGATTTTTCCTGTCCATGGAGCAAGTAAGGCTGAGTGACTTTACTTGCTTGCAGAATGGGGTGCTTCCAGGCACTTAACTGAAGGGAGGCTAAATTTGCTGATCCACAGAGACAGAGACGTGTGTTTAAGGCTGAGGCTTATAATTGAGCAGTGTGTCCAGTGGACATTTATCAGCAGCCCTAAAAGAACTTTGTAACACTGACTAGACAGAGAGGAGACCTACATGTGGGCCTGGCTGAAGGGAGACTGGCCTGACTGAAAGAACTGTACCCTGAGTATTTTCTAATCCTGCATTGTAACCTGCTAACGTCCCTAAGAACCCCCATAACTGTATGTTGTTTGAGTTCTGTGTGGCCATTACAATGAATTACTGAACCCAAGTGAGGAGTAGAGAAGGTTATATGAAGAAAGGTTTGCTGCCATATTTTGTTGTACTGGAGAAGAGAGAAGACACATGAAATAACAGAGAGTGGATTGAAACATATTTTGCTTGATAAGAAATAACAGAAAGTCTTTGTTAAAAGCTGTCCAAGAAAGATACAGAAGAGGAGACACATTTAATAGAAGCTTTTATTTTTTTTCTTTTTCCTGAAATTTTGTGTTCTTTTAAAATAAGATTATCCCTAAACTGCCTGTTTGGGAACATCTGTGAAGGAATGGAGTTTGCATCACATACTTATTAAATCCAGCAGAAACAAATAAGGCATTTAATAACAGGATAACACTCTTATTTATATTTTTATAGTCACATATGTGTATATATGTATGTGTGTGTGCATATATGTTGTTGTTAAGTGTCAAAAAGTCACTCTCTACCCATAGTGACCCTGTATAGGGTTTTCAAGGAGCAGCAGCTGGTGAGCTTGAACCACTGACCTTACTGTTCAAACCGACATTGCAGTCCAGAGCATTAACCTACAGCATCACATTAGCACTCTCTCTCTCTCTCACATACTTTCAGAAGTAGTAATAAACTAAAAGAGGTTTAATTATGGGATGCAACGATAAGACAAGGACTCAAGATTTACTTAGTTCTAATTCAGCACTTTCTATTCTCAAATATCACAATTTTTACTGAGCATGATAAGGTTTATAGATTAGCACAAACTGAAAGACATAAGAAAGAGGCAAGAGAGTCAAATGTTACATTTGAGAGATTTTCCTATGACTCCAAAATATTTAACACAAAAATCTCCTTACCAGAATGTTCTGGCTGGCAGTCTTCAAAAGAGTAGCATTCATGTTAATGCAGTACTGCCTACTCTCGTCCCATGTCAAGTTGCGCTTGAAGAATCCATAGCAACCATCCCCATAGTATCTCCAGTTTGTCTCACAGGGGCTGCATTGATGGTCTTAAGAAGAGACCAAACATAGAAACCTTTTCATTTCTAAATCGGGATGACATTTTCCATCCATTCTGTGATTCCTGCAGATCTCAGGATTCCTTCCAAATACCACCCATACAAAATGCTCAGGGCTTAGAGGAGATCAAGAAGATATGAAGCCATAACTTACAAAAATTACCTTTTGATTCTGATTGCTTTATTAAATCTTGGCAGAAGTGCTTTGCTAATTTTTGCAGAGTTCCTGAGAGATTTTCCTTCTCAGCTTGTAGGAGATTTTGCTGGGTGACAGCTAAATGTAAAAATTAGATAATAACAGTGTCTAACCAGGCTCTTAAATGAGATGCCTGCCAAGACATTTCAATGAACTTTTGTTTTCATAGAACTGCCACTTTTAGAGTGTTTACTAAACACAAATGACTAAATTATTTCTGTAAAGAGATTAGGGCAGAGGGGATATAAAGAACAGTAAGAAATATACAAAACCTACACCTGGGAGTTATAAGAAAATCCTATGATTAAATAGCACACCTAAAGCAATTGTGTGGACATCTTCTTGAATACAGGTTTCTAAATGATATTAACAGAATTGAATATCTATGCTATTTTATGCTCTAATGTCATACTGGAATATTCACTTGTTTTAAAAATGCATGGTGATTTCATGCTATGTTCAAAATATTATGAGATTAAGGAAAGTGAATGATGATAAATGAAAGATTCTTAAATATCTTATATAAAAATAAACAAGTACAAACAATAAAATATTATACAAACTATAAAGTAACATTGGAGGGCTATTAGGTTTACAGGAAGAGAAGACAATATTTATCAATAAGGTGGGCTATGAATTGTCTCTTAGAGGAAGTATGTAAGTCACCTAAAAAGTGATTTTGATCAGGAGGTAAAGGTCACAGAAAATCTTGGCAGCTATATATGTGATAAATGGAGCAGCAGCAAATAGAAAGACAGTGAATAAGTTTAGTGTGATACATCAAGACTTTTAGATATTGCCTTTCTCAGACCAAACCCTTGTTAATAAGTCAATACTTACACATAATTCCAAGGGCCACCAGTCCAACAACCATCCCCATGCACAAGATCAGAAGAGTTAATGCTGTCACACGCCACAAAGATGAAGATGCAGGGTCAACTGTGGGCATACAATAAATATGACAAAGAGCAATACTATGGCATTGCTATGGAGAGTGTCACCTATGCCCAGGCCTCTCAGAATTTTCCAAGTAATAAAAACAGCTCCAATGGCACAGAGTTCCTTTGTTTTCTTGTTGATCACCATCTGTAAGTACAACCCACTCCCACAGCACAATTCCATCCCCATTCCCAATAGATTCCTCATCTCTGAGTCAAAATATAGGCAGCTGTTAAAATGTATTTGTTTTGTTTTGTGTCCATTCCCCTTTTTCCATAATCATTGTCTTAATAAGCAACTACTAGAAAATTACACTCACTTATTGGAATTGTGGAAAACAGTGGTTTCCAAACAATCCTGTCGTTCTTACACTCATATCCTTGACTTCAAAGTCGTTCAGGATTAAGTTCTACAAGCTTTAATGTAGTATTCCTTGCTTGTCTCCTATATTGTTTTTTGTTTTTTTTTTAATTTTCTAAATAAATCTGTCTAAATTGCTGTATTACTAATGACTGTAGAGTAAGGACATTATTCAGTAAAATGAAACAAAACAAAAACCAAAACTGATAGCGTTGGCTCATTTTACCTGAGGTAAGGGCTGCTGGTTCTCGAGTTTTAATATTCAGCATTACGTATCCATCTTCATCCTGCATGGCTTCACTGCACTGCAAGTGAGCTCAGGGGTCCAGCGACTGTACAAAATACAGTGTTCGCACTTCTAATTTCAGTAGCTGTCAGTCTGTGGTCCTCCTCAATTGGTAGGGTGGAGCTGTGAGCTGGGACACATGTTTTTTGTTTTGTTTTCTTTTCTTTTCTTTTTTCCAGGAAGTTCTTTCACGACTGGACAGAGATACATGAACCTTGGGCATGAAATAAATAAATAAATAAAACCCAAAAAATAATAGCTTGTGATAAAGAAGTCGATACAGTATTTGTTTCCTGTTTCCTTATTTTAGGCTCAAAATAGATATCCCAGCATGTACATCCTTTCAAAGAACCAAAATTTGTTATGACGTTCATATTTCATCCTAGCACTGCAAAAGTCTAAATCATATTGTTTTTAATGAGCTGATGTTTGTGAAAAATCATGATAAAACATAAAAAGACATATAGTCTAGCTGACTGTGAGGAACAGGACTAGTATAATTTGATCTAGTACTACCAATATAGAAATTTCATGGTCTTGTATTGGAAAAATATTCATAAATATGCCCTAGAACTTATTCAAATAATTGTATCTCTAATAAATCAATTTTTCAAAAAATTTATGACTCAACATAGTGACGCTTTATACTATTTAGGTTTAGGCACTGTAGGAAAACTGTAAAATAGAATGACATTATACAGAGTTAAGGAGCCCTCCTGTGGTACTTTAGAATAAGCACTGGACTACTAACCACAAGTTTGGCAGTTCAAATCACCAACTGCTCCTTGGAAACCTTATACAGGGTTACAGTGAGTTGAAACCAACTTGACAGCACTTCAAAACAACTACAGTATACAGAGTTAAAGGAACCGTGGAGGGTTCAAACCCACTAGCTTTGAGATACACATGCGACTGTAAACTCCTGTCAAGAGTACAGTCTCAGAAACCCTTAGGAATAGTTCTACTGTCTTTGTTGTTGTTAAGTGCCATTGAGTCGTTCTAACCCATAGCAACCCTGTATAGGGTTTCCGAGGATCAGTTGGTGTCTTATAGGATCACTATAAGTCAGAATGAACCCAAATCCAGTGGTTCTGGGATATAGAGTTCATGACTTGATGCTTGTCAGAAATGTTTCACTTTAAAGTGAATTTTCTGAAATGAAAAAAAAAATTAATTAAATAAGAATCTTGTAATGTCAAGTATGAAGAACTATTTGGGCAAGGGACGGTCTCCAGTTCCCTTTACATCACAGTATAGTAATATATTCTATGTATTTAGTGTTATTAGTTAGATGTTTTACATAGTATTTCAGCTTATATTGAAAGCAGTTATAAGGAACAGCCGTACTAAGCTAGCTGCTGCATTCATCATTGAAGTAATTACCTAAGATATCATTTCTTGTTGTTGTTAAGTGCCCTTAAGTTGGTTCAAACTCATAGCGATGCTGTATTGGCTTTCTGAAGGACTAGTGGGTTTGAAACCCTGACCTTTCAGTTAGTAGTCCAGTGTTATCCTACAGTGCCACACCAAGACTCCCAAGTTGTTACTGTTGTGATTGTAAGGTGCCATAGAGCTAGTTCTGACTCATAGTGACACTGTATATGGTTTCCAAGAGCAACTGGTAGGTTTGAACTGTTGACATTGTGATACACAGTCCAGTGCTGATCCTATGGCACCACACGCGGAGTAATTAGGATATCTAAATTTTTATATAGGGTATAGAGTTTTATAGCAGATATTTTCTATTAAACCTCTGTGGTCAGAAAGCTTTCCTTCTTCTGAGCAACTAGTAGACATAGTATTTTTCTGTTACTTGGTTACTAGAAATCTTACACCTTACTTTGTCAATGTAATAATTACATAGAATCTCACAATAGGTATTTTGCTTATTGACTTTCCCTTGGAACATTTTCTTTTTTTTTTACTCTTCCTGTTATAAGAATTCCCTCTGAATTCTTTGTCAATTCACTTTATCTTATCTCTTAATATTTCTTTCCCTGTATGCCTAGTTGTAGACTGAATTATACCACACCAAAAGATACATGAAAGTCCTAACTCCTGGTACTTGGGAAGTGCTCTTATTTGGAAATAGGATCTTGGAATATATTATCAGTTAAGTTAATATGAGTCATAATCTCATTTAAACACACCCACCCCTGGTGTGGTGCTGTGGACTAATGTGTCTGACTGCAAATTCACTGGTTCAAGCTCACCAGCTGCTCCTTGGAAACCCTATACAGGGTCGCTATGGGTCAGAATCGACTCGACGGCACTTAGCAACAACAACAACAAAACCCTTAAAAATTCCACTGCCATCTAGTAAACTCCAATTCATAGCAAGCCTGGAGATAGAGTTTCTGAGCCTATACATTTTTTTATGGGAGAAGAAATCCTCCCCTTTCTCGTATAGAGAGATTGGTGGATTTGAACTGCTAACCTTGTGGTTATCAGTCCAATACATAACCCACTATGCTACCAGGTGTCCTTTTCATCTAAATGTTGTTTTTGTTGTTAGTGCCATCAAGTTGTTGTTAGGTGCCATGGAGCCAGTTCCAACTCATAACGACCTTATGCACAACAGCACAAAACACTACATGCCATCCTCTCATATCAGGATTGGCCATTGTGTAGGTTTCACAAAAGTTTATTTTACATTATTTGTGTTCCAAAACATGTTATAGTACTTATATGCTTCTAATCTTGGGGTTGAAGTAGCCTCTGATGACACTATCTTAATTCTTCTCTCTTCCTTCACATAGTCTATAAATACAAACTGAATTACTCAGCAAAACTCAAGCAGAGAACTGAAGGCAAATGACATAAGCTATTACAAGATTTTTTTTTTTTTTTTTTGCTTTGCCATTTCTAAATGTAAGGAAAGGAGCTCTGGTAGCATAGTGGTTACGAATCGGGCTGCAAAACTTAAGGTCAGCAGTTCGAAACTACCAGCTGTTCCGTAGGAGAAAGATGAGGCTTCCTGCTCCAGTAAAGAATTACAGCCTCAAAAACCCTGTACAGGGTTGCTGTGAGTCAGAACCGACTTCAAGGCACATAACAACAACAAATGTAAGGAACTTCGCTAGATATTTCCTGATTACTCTATAAAGGCCATATCATTATTCTCGTATTTTATCCCCTGTCCCCTGCTTTGGCTCAGGAAACTAAAGTTGAATGAAAAAAAACGAGGCTTGTATTCCAAATTTCTGATGAGTCTAAACTTGTAATGAAAACCATTCTTTTAGTAGCTTAGACATTAAGAGGTGCTCTTACACAAATCATAGCTTTTACTTAAAAAAAAAAAAAAGTTAATGAATGTCCTTTATGTTTCTGATGCTGTAATTGGAGTTGAATATATATGGAAAAAGTCAGGGTACAGGTCCACATGGAGTGCAGAGTATCACATTTTAGCAGAGATACAGTTTTTGTTTGTTTGTTTTGTTAGGCTATTTACAACACCTTTATTCACCCTCAAACATACCACCCCACATTCTTGTCCTTCTTCCTTGCTTCACATTTCTAACAACACTTATGTCTATCTGGCCCACACAGAGTCTTATTACATTAAAAAGGTTTTGGTCATTTAGCCCCACAAGAATATATGAGGGTAATTTAAAAAGTACTGCTACTTGGGTTCCAGTTCATACATGCACAGGTTTATCTCAAGCAAATCATGTTTAAACACGTCTTTGCACTTTGTGGATGGCTGGAGACAAGTTCTTTCACTCCAGACTGACACTTGTCATATTCTCATTAGGCAACCTTCAAAAAAAAAAAAGAGTCCCAATCAAAAGAGTGGCTTCTGAGAAATCTTCTGGGCCAAGAGAAATAAACTCAGAAGATTCGGAAGAGTGTTTTTTTTTGTGTGTGTGGGGGGGTAATCTTGGGGTAATTCCAAAGGGTGATCCCAAAGGTAATCGTCATAGATTTTTCTCAAGGAATACAAGGTGATCACAGGGATTTATTAGGAAGAAGTTTTAAGAAAATTGAAAATTGTATTAGTAAAGGCAAGAAAGTACCAAGCCATTTTTTTTCCCATCGCAATGATGCATCTGCTCATACTTTAGGAGTAGCCAGGGCTGTCCTATGAGAATTTCATTGGGCAATCATACCTTAACCACTCTATAATCCTGATCTTTCCCTGTTAAATTTTTACTTCACAAACTCACAGAACATTTCAAAGGAATAGGACTTGAATCCCTGGTGGTTCATAGTCTAGTCTACAGGGCCACACCAGGGGTCCAATCATCAACTATTACCTCTTAAAACCCCAAAGAACCTAGGCTATTTCTTTTTGGTATAGTGACTGTGTATTTCCTCCATCTTCTTTTGATGTTTTCTTCATCATTTGCTATTTTCCTCATAGAATCCTTCTATATTTCAATTGAGGCTTGAATTTTTTTCTTCAAGCTTGAGAAATGCTGACCCTGTTCTTCCATTTTG